ATTAGTTGGTTCCGAGGGTTAACCGGTTAATTCTCTCCTTCCTTGCCTCTTTTCCTACCTTCGTGTTTTGAGTCGACTCAAAACACGACTCACTAGTTGGTTGGTTCCGAGGGTTAACCAGTTAATTCTCTCCCTCCTTGCCTCTTTTCCTACCTTCACACTAACCCCCCTCTCCCTTGGCAGGCACTAAGCAGTGGCCAGTGGAGGGAAGTGTCATTGTCTCTCAACCGCCCGCCTTCCTCTCACTCACAGCAGCACCTTCTCCCTCCATCACACCTCCCACGCTCTGCATCTATCCTCCAACACTCCTCCCCCTCCTTCACCCCTTCGATCTGCCTGGTCTCTTGGACCAACACAGCTCACCGCCTCTCCTTTCACTCTGCGCTTCAAACCGAAGCTGCAGCTTTGGCTGCGGAAGGGCTGGATCCCGAGCCTAGGCATGAGGCACGGTCGGAGGTTCGGCACGTGGCTCGGCAGTCTCTGCGGGCTCCGGCCCAGCTTCCCGAACCTAAACTGTGTTCGGGGAGTCAGAAGGACGAACCGAAGCTGGAACAAGGGGAAGAGAAAGCGCATGGTGCGGGTCGTGCTTTGATGTGCTTTGAAATGAAACGAGGCCAGGGTGGTGCTGCAGCTGAGACGACTGAAAAGCCACCCAGGGGGGAGCACTCGTTGAGTAGAGGTGTTGCATCTGACCGCAATGCAGCAAAGCAAGGCATGGGTAAGGACCGAGTGGTTGCTGCGGCTGCTGTTACACGGTTTGGAGGTATTGGGGTGGCAAGGGAAGAGGAGGATGGGAAGCCCAGAGGAAGCCTTTCAGGCAAGGTTGGCAAGGAATGGGGGGAGGCGAAGGAGACGGAGGAGGAGAAGGAGGAGGAGGAGGAGGAGGAGGAGGAGGAATTAGAGAAAGCAGAGGAAGCAGAGGAAGAGGAGGAGGATGGGGAGGAGCGAAAGACAAGTGCAGCTGGAGGTATTAAAGGGGGAGGAGAGAAGAGGGAGGAAGACCGAGGGGAGAGGAGCGGGGAGGAAGGGAAGAAAAGGGAGGAAGTGGGTGGGGAGAAAGAAGAGAAAGTGGGAGGGGAGAAAGAAGAGAAAGTGGGAGGGGAGAAAAGGGAGGATAAGGGCGGTGAGAAGCTCTCTGACTTGAATGTAACCGACGCTTTGTTAAGTGCTCGTAAAGGGTTGGATGCGAAAGCTAGGAAGGTCGGAGTGTACAAGGGTGGCTATTTGGATTGGGGTGTGGGCGGAAGCGGAAGCAGGGAGATGGGTGCTAAAACGGGTAGCGGGGGGGATGGCCTGGCTAGCAGTGGTGGGGGGATGGGTGGTGGGGGGATGGGTGATGGGGGGATGGGTGGTGGGGGGATGGGTCACGTTGGTGGGGTGGAGAGGACTGCAGGGGCTGCTCTGGTGAAGGTGCAGGGCGATGGGAAGTGCGCTTTTATGGCAGCTTTTGAGCAGCGGTTGCAGGCAGAATTTCAAGCAATGAGAAGCAGTGGCGGAGGGGTGGGGATGCAGGGGAAGGTGCGGTTGCAGGGGAGGGTGGGACATGTGGTGGGTGAAGGGACAGAGAGGATAAAGATGGAGTCTGGGGTAGGGGAAGGCGAGAGGGAAGGGGATGGGAAAGAGGGGGGCAAGCGAGAGGGAAGAGAGGAGGGAGGAGAGCAGAGGCGGAAAGGAGGAGTGGAGAGCGGTGGGATGGGCAGATGGGGTCCTTCTTATTATCACATGGATCACAGTGTGTATAGGCACAGTGTGGGTGCAGAGAGGGGTGTGATTGTAGGGAGGGGCAAGGAGGAGGGGAGGGGCGAGCAAATGAAAGGGGAGCAGCAGGCAGGTAGTGCATCCCACAGGAAGGATGAGTGGCGGGAGGCTTTTGAGAATTCTCAAAAGGGGAAGGGCGAGCAAATGAAAGGGGGGCAACAGGCAGGTACTGTAACCCACAGGAAGGATGAGTGGCGGGAGGATTGGGTGAGGAGGAAGATGAGAGAGACACAGATGGAGATGGAGAGGGAGAGAGAGCGAGAGAGGGAGCGAGAGAGGGAGAGGGAGAGGGAGCGGAAGAAGAGGAGAGAGAGGAGAGGTGAGGAGAAGGGAAAGCACAGGCGGAAGGAGAAGAAGCGAAGCAAGAGTAGGCGGTTTACAGAATGGTCATCTGATGAGTGGATGGGAGCAGATGAGAGCGAAGGAAGGGAAGAGGAAGGGGGAGCTGGTGAAGATGTAACTGGTGCAGGTGTAACTGGTGCAGGTGTATTTGGTACAAGAGAGGGAGACTGGGAGGGGAAGAGAGAGCATGAGAGAGAGCAGGAGGAGGGGAGTGAGAGTGATTCAAGGGGAGAGAGTAGGGGGAGGAAGAAATGGAAGAAGAAAAAGAAGAGAAGGAAGGGCAATGGGGAAGAGGGGGGTGGTAGTGGGAGCGAAGAAAGAGAAAGAGACAAAGAGGAGAAGGGCGAAGCCAGCTGGCGCGTTCCTATTGGCACAGAGCGCCAGCTCATGCGATACCTTCAGAAAGCTTCAGCTGGTTCAATCCACGGTTCAGAAGCTGGTGCTGGTGCTGCTTCTGCTGCTGCTACTGCTGCTGCTGCGTCGAGAAAGTCGAAGTCGTCTGAATCAGTTCCGGTCCCACATGCAGCTGCAGGGAGGCTAAAGAAGAAAAAACCTGCTGGTGTACATTCAGTTGCAGCGAGGACAGAGAGGCAGCTTATTCTAGCTACCAGGCAGGCGGAGGAACAACCAGGTGCGCTGCTGGGTCAAGGGCGTGGGGAGGAGGATGAGGTGGAGAGGGAGGAGAAAGAGGAGGAGCGGGAGGAGGTAGATTATGCCAAGACGGGGGAGAAAGATTTGAAGCAAGAAGGAGATGATTTTGAGAGAGGGCAGGAAAGTATGGTTTCTTCTGTACTCGGTGATGGTCATGGGGAGGGTGCGGGGATGCATTGGGGAACGGAGGGCGAAGAGGAAGAGGAGGAGAGGAGGAAAATGCAGAAGAAACGGAAGCAAGAGGAGGGGCTTTGGGAAGAAAGACAGGAGAGGAAGGAGAGGAGGGAGCAGGAGAGGAGGGAGAAGAGGGAGAGGAAAGAGAAGAGGGAGAAGAGGGAGAAGAAAGAGAAGGAGAAGAAGGAAAGGGAGAGGAAGAGGAGGGAGAGACCGTCGTGTGCGCGTGTGGAATGGGGCGGGTGGGAATGGAGAGAACACGTGAAGCAAGCAGCACAGCGAGAGGCTCTAAAGCAGCGAGCTGAGGCGTACTATAGAGGGGATAGAGGCGAGGGCGCAGGGGAATGGGAAGCAGACGGCACAGGGCCGGGCGCAGGAGCGTCCATGCGCACTCCTCGCCTGCTCTCCCGGGCTAACCTCTCCCAAGCTAGTCTTTCCAGAGGATCCGGCAGCAGGGCACAGAGGGAGGGTTCTCTCGCCCTGCTTGCTTCTGCTGGTAATGGCGGAATGGGTTTGCTGGGGGGAGGAGGAGCAGCAGCAGGGGAGGAAGGATGGGAGGGGATGGGTGTGGGCATGGGCACAAGCACAGGGAGTGCTGGCCTCACTTTAATTGGGAGTGCAAGGAGCAGCAGGGCGCTGCTGAGGCAGCTAGCGGTGGGTTCAGAGGGGTTGGAAGGGGTGAGGTTCAAGCAGCTGAAGGGGAGGAAGAAGAATCTGAAGCTGGTGCGGAGCCGGATACACGGGTGGGGGCTGCTGTCCCTGGAACGGATCGAAGCGGGAGACTTCATTATCGAGTATACGGGCACCATCATCCGGCGATCGGTGAGTACACTGTGGTGATTTTTGAGTGCCGCTGACACGTTTGGAAGAAGAATCTGAAGCTGGTGAGGAGCCGGATTCACGGGTGGGGGCTGCTGTCTCTGGAGAGAATCGAAGCGGGAGACTTTATCATCGAATATACCGGCACCATCATTCGACGATCGGTGAGTGCAGTGGGGTGATTAGCGAGTGCCACTGAGTCATTTTGAAGAGGTTGAAGCACGGGTGTCTCTGGAGAGGATTGAAGCAGTTGTGAGGAGGAGTTGGAAACACGGGTGGGTGGGGGCTGCTGTCTCTGGAGAGGATTGAAGCTGGGCAGGGGACTTTATGTTGAGTATACGGGAACGATTATAAATCATTAGCAGCAGGCGATCGGTGAGTGCTGGGATGATTTGGGTGGAAGGTTGGAAGGTTTTGCCTCTCCCTCTTCTTTTACACCCTCCTCCCCCCCCCACACACAAACATTCACTCACTTCACACTCACTCACACACTCACATACACATACCACTCCCACCAGGCGTCGAAATCACAAGAACAGATGTACGAGGCGGATGGCATTGGCAGCAGGTGTGTTTTGAGTCGACTCAAAACACACCTGAAATCACAAGAACAGATGTCCGAGGTGGATGGCATTGGCAGCAGGTGTGTTTTGAGTCGACTCAAAACACACCTGAAATCACAAGAACAGATGTCCGAGGTGTATGGCATTGGCAGCATTAACCAACCTGCATTCATGCAACTGTACTGTGAACTCACTTCCTTTTTATTTCAATACCCATCAGGAGTCGGAGCTGCGGGAGAGGATGTATGAGGCGGATGGCATTGGCAGCACCTTTTCAACCTGCACTGCAGCCATGCAACTGTTTGGTGAACTCACTCCCTTTCTATTTCAATTTCAACACCCACCTACACACCCGCCCACCCACCCACACACACACCCACCCATCAGGTGTCGGAGCTACGAGAGAGAATGTACGAGGCAGACAGCATTGGCAGCAGCTATCTGTTTCGAGTGGACGAGGATGTGGTGGTGAGTGGTGGGGTGGGGGTGGTGTGGGATGTGGTGGTGAGTGGTGGAGAGGTAGTACTTTTATGTTTTTCTTGTAGGATCAATGGTGTGAAGGATCCGGCATGGTATAAAAGCATTTCTATCTGTAAGCCAGCTATTGTGTTTCTTAAGTCTGCTTGTAAGCCTACTTGATTGTATAAAAGCATTTCAAAGAGTAACCTTTGAAGCAACAAGGCAGACCCTTCAACCCCCGCTCACCTATCAGCTGTAAGGGCACATGGAATTGCACCTGACCCTCTGATTCCGCCTCCCTACCCCTCTCTCTTTTCCGTGCTTGCTCGCGCAGGTGGATGCCACTCGCAGCGGCGGCCTCGCTCGATTCATCAACCACTCATGTGATGTGAGTGTAATTCTATACGGCCCTGAAACAAAAATGGGGGAGCCGTAGAAAAGAAAACTCACTCAATTCATCAACCACGTGTCTGTGACTTGTTCAGGTGTTGGTGTGATGTGATTAGATAGATGTGGGGAAGAGAGTTCAGGGGTGTGCGCTGTCAGTGATTTCAATGGAGCTGTCGAAATCTAGTGCAATATGCACAAATGATGAGAAGTTTATGAAACGTAATGCGCCCCCATCCTTCCTCCAACTGCCCACACAATCTAATCCACCTCTCCCTTCCCCCAGCCCAACTGTTACACCAAGGTGATAGTAGCAGACGGGCAGAAGCACGTGACTTTTTAGTCGACTCAAAAGTCAGGACGGGCAGAAGCATGTGGTGATACTCTCTAAGAAGGTGATTCCCTTTTTTCCTGCCTTGTCCCTCAGCCCTTTCAACCTTGCTTGTCCCCCCTCCCTCTCCTCCACCCCTCCGCCCCAGCCCAACTGTTACACCAAGGTGATAGTGGCAGACGGGCAGAAGCACGTGGTGATCTACTCCAAGAGGGTCATTCAAGCGGGGGAGGAGCTCAGCTATGACTACAAGTTCCCCATTGAAGATGACGCAAAAATCCCCTGCCTCTGCCTCTCTAAGAAGTGAGTTTCCTAGAGTTTTTCCCTTGTCAACCTTGCTTGTTCCATGCACAACTCATGATTCAAGGGGGGGAGGACTTCAGTTAAAACTCCGGGGACAGCTGAGAATTCTCGAAAGTCAAACCTTTTGAGAATTCTCGAAAGTCAAACCTTTTGAGAATTCTCGAAAGTCAAACCTTTTGAGAATTCTCGAAAGTCAAACCTTTTGAGAATTCTCGAAAGTCACACCTTTTGAGAATTCTCGAAAGTCAAACCTTTAGAGAGTTCTCGAAAGTCAAAACTTTTGAGAATTCTCAAAAGTCAAACCTTTTGAGAATTCTCGAAAGTCAAATCTTTTGAGAATTCTCGAGAGTCAAACCTTTTGAGAATTCTCGAGAGTCAAACCTTTTGAGAATTCTCGAAAGTCAAACCTTTTCAGAATTCTCGAAAGTCAAACCTTTTGAGAAGTCTCGAGAGTCAAACCTTTTGAGAATTCTCGAGAGTCAAACCTTTTGAGAATTCTCGAAAGTAAAACCTTTTGAGAATTCTCGAAAGTCAAACCTTTTTAGAATTCTCGAAAGTCAAACCTTTTTAGAATTCTCGAAAGTCAAACCTTTTGAGAATTCTCGAAAGTCAAACCTTTTCAGAATTCTCGAGAGTCAAACCTTTTGAGAATTCTCGAGAGTCAAACCTTTTTGAGAATTCTCAAAAGTAAAACCTTTTGAGAATTCTCGAAAGTCAAACCTTTTGAGAATTCTCGAAAGTCAAGCCTTTTGAGAATTCTCGAAAGTCAAACCTTTTTAGAATTCTCGAAAGTCAAACCTTTTGAGAATTCTTAAAAGCTCCCAATCGAGGACAACGCAAAAATCCCCTGCCTCTGCCTCTCTAGAAAGTGAGTCTCCTGTGGTTACCCTTCAATGTCGCTCCCATGCACCTGCCCACGCACCACTCGTGGTCCAAGCGGGGAGTTTCAAGTCGACTCAGAACTTTGCCCCTCAATATTACTCCCACGAGCTGGGTCTACTTTTGAGTCGACTCAAAAGTCAAATTTCAAGTCGACTCAGAACTTTGCCCCTCAACATTACTCTCACGTGCTGGGTTTTGAGACGTCTCAAAAGTCAACATTACTCCCACGAGCTGGGTCTGGTACTTTCCATAGCAGCGCACCGTTCATGATTCAAATGGGGTATTTTCACACCCGTTCTGGTCCTTGCCCGCACCACTCGTGGTCTAAGGGGCGAGTTTTGAGAAGTCTAAAAGCAAGTCGCCCCTCATGCAACACTAGTTCCGGCAAAGCAAAGGCTTCTGCCAAGCTCTTTGCTCTTGTCAAACTCTTGCCAAAGCTTGACGAAGAGCCAAGTTTCTTCTGTGGAATTGCATGCAGCTGATAGTGGTTCATCTTTTGAGGTGGACCTTAAACAATTTGGGCTTTCTGATGGCTTTCAAGGTTCCTTCCCTCGTGCATGCCTCTCCCCCTTCCCCACTTTTTTTCCAGATGTTGAGGCTACTTCTTGCTAGCCCACTCAAAAGATCCCTCACGACCTCTCCCTTCCCTCCCCTCTTTTCTCCTGTCTTTTCTCCAGGTGCCGAGGCTACCTCAACTGACCAATCACTCACACAACATCAGCATCAGCATCAGCATCAGCATCGGCATCAGCATCAGCATCAGCATCAGCGTCAGCATCAGCATCAGCATCAGCATCGGCATCAGCATCAGCGTCGGCATCAGCATTAGCATCTGCACCAGGGTCGGCATCAGCATCGGCATCAGCACCAGCATCAGAATCGCAAGCGATTGTCAACCCAGACGTCACCTACCGGAACCTGGAAGAAAATCTCAGTAGAGACTGACTCAGCAGCGAATCCTTCATGTCCGATTGAAGAGGCAACACAACAGCTCCTTCGTGTCTGCTCATATGGGCGCGGCATTCCTCTTGCAAGGCATTGGACCGGACATTTCTGGATGGCCTTTTGGACTCATCCCATCACCCTTACCTGCATCCATCCATCTGCTCCCATTCGCCACTTTTCACGGGTACATTTTCTGGAAAAGCATTACTGTGTGTCGTCATTGAATTCCTGACAAGCTACAGTGCAATAATCACCACTTCTTCAATGTAGTTTTTTACGCGACCCAGCAGCCCACATGTTTTGTGGGCCTAGCTCATCCTTAGAACAGAGAATCACTTAAAAGCTTCTAAGCGTTCCACTCCACTCAACCGTGCATGCAGCTGCCACTATATCCATCACATATTTCCCAATGAAGGAGCAACTGCTGCACTTCCATGGAGCAGAAACAGGGTGCTTTTGGGTCAGCAGCAACAACAGCATATGAGAAGAACCTTTGTCCTGATACCGTGCCAGGCGGAACCTGGGTTAACCTCGTCTGCTTATGAACCATATCAATGGGTTTCTCCTATATTTTTTAGATATCTCAAACCCTTGAGAAATCTTGACGCTCTACAATTTTGTTGCGACAGAAGGACCAGTCCACGGCACTTTTTCGATGACAGGCGCTTCAATACCATCGTTTCTGCAATAAGCATGCTGTGCGCTGCTTGTTCCAGCTCTGCAAATTGCTATGCAGCACTAACAGCAGAGAACAATGATGCATAATGCATTGTGTTTCCCGATTTGAATAAGTCAAGGACAAAGAGGACCTTCAAGCTGCCGCACTCAGAAGGTGTAGCTGCAGACATGACTCAAAGCCTCTACTGGTACTCAACCAGCGTATTCAGTATCCAGGCCTCCCAAGTATGTCAAGCAAGTTCTGTACATAATTATTCATTTATTCGTTCATTTCATACAAAAGTAACTTGTTGAGCTGCTCCAAACCTTTCACAGGCACCATCTGGAGATGCTCATTTCTTTAACTTAGTGGTGTACCACATTCAAGAACGTCCTAGTGGTGTACGGCTCGACGATGTTATCGCAAACCTCAGCCCTCAAAGTTACCATTCCCGATTCCCCATAACCCTTCACAAAACACTCTCAACCCAACTGAATCGTCCCCCATCTCCCTTCTGGAATAACTGCTGCTCCTGTCACTTCCAACGTCCCGTCCGTCAATCCCAAGAAAACCTTCTCCCGAGCGTGTCCCTCCTTTCACTGTCATTGACAACACACGGGCATATCAATTCCAGGAATCGCTCGTCTTGCAGTTGCATTGCATTGCAAGCTTAGGGCGTGTCCCACGAGTTCGTTTTGCAGTTCATGTTCACGTTTGTTACTCTATTTTGCGATTGTAACTCTCTACTGTATACATGTGTGTTAAATGACGCGTGACAATTGATGCCCATTGATGCCCATTGATGCCCACGTGACAATTGATGCCCATTGATGCCCACGTGACAATTGATGCCCATTGATGCCCATTGATGCCCACGTGACAATTGATGCCCATTGATGCCCACGTGACAATTGATGCCCATTGATGCCCATTGATGCCCACGTGACAATTGATGCCCACCCACGTCGACGTGTACGTTTTGAACGCGTTTAGAAAGAGAACCATCGTACGTGCGATCACCTCGAACGGGTCCGCGTGAGGGGTTACCGTAACCTAAAAATTCGCCCAACCCTTGGCCTCACGAAATACACGAACCTCGCCTGGGGTACATTCGATTCGCGACTGGGGCGGGTTACCGCTCGCGGATTCTGTCAATTGTGAATCGCATGACGTTTTTTGTTTGGGCGGGAATTGCGTCCGCCTTGTGCAATTCCGTTTTGCTCGGAGCTGACACATTCCGTTTTTTTTTTCGTCAGAGTGTACACTCTTTTGCTGACTCGCAGTTTACGTAAAATTTTAGAATTTTCCCCAAAACGAACTCATGGGACACGCCCTTAGTCCCCAGCGTGTCCCGCTAGACGACGGCTGCTGCGACGGCTTCAAAAGACGATCCATGCACCCGAAACCGCCGACATATTCCCCGATTGACAGCCATACAGACGCGTTCTCAGCATCTCACTTATCGAGTTGCAGCGCGGCACGTCGATTCCTCGAGGCCTCCGTCTCTGCTGTCACACCTACTCCTCCACTCTTCCCCCTTGGCGGAATTCTTCTTCCCAAGATTCCTCCTCGTCGCCTCGCCTCTGCTGCCTGAAGCCGCTGGAAATGCGCGCACATAGTCGCTCCTCTCTCCTTCCCTCGCAACGAGGGAAATGGGAGTCCCTCCGATCCAAGATTTTTATAATCCTGTCCAGACCTCCATAGAATATAACCATCATAACTATGGTAGCCCGTTTCGGCCCGCCTGCCGTCGGACTCTCTGCTCCTCGTGTCGCCACGGCGGCATGCGCTACTCGGATCTTGCGACTCGGAACGACGGATCAATGTCGTCGCACGTTGATGCGACGTCGCAACTATGCCTCTAAAATCACTCATAGTGACAACCAAGATTTGTCCCTCCGAGGCATGGCGGATAGTACCCTCACGCAGCCACGAAGCTCCTCCAATCCGCAGGCAGGCAGAAATGCGCCGAACGCGGCGCAAAACGAGGCGCCAAATCCGACCGCTGCGGCGGAGCTCCCGCCGCCGTCATTCCACGTGGACGTGGCGATTGCGGGCGGTGGACTCGCGGGGCTCGCGCTCGCCGCCGGCCTGCAGTCACGCGTCGTCGAGGCGGCCGTTTTCGAGGCCGCGCCCGCGCTGCGATCTAACAACAGCACCGTCCTCGTTATCTGGCCGAACGGCGCCGCCGCCCTCGACGGAATCCTGCCCGGATTGAGCGCATCCGTGGCGCGACACGGCACGCTGGTCAACCGGCGCAGCCTCTGCAACCGGCGCAAGCCGCCTCCCCCGCCGCCGCCGCGGTCGCCGCCAGGCGGAGCTGACAGCGGGCCGGGGGAAAGTGGGTGCGCGGAACGCGGCGGAAGTGGCGCCAGTGGCGCAAGGGCGGGAGGCGGAAGTGGGGTTGGGAGCGGCGCAGCTACTCTAAGTTCTGATTGGTTGGTGGCGGAGACGGAAGAAGCGGGACTGAACATGGTGCCATGGCGGCGCATCCAAGAGGCACTCGCGTCGGCACTCCCTAGGCCCGATTTGGTGCGATGTGGGCATCGCGTGGTGGGGTACCGCCCTGTGTTTAAGCGCAGGGGTGGCGGAGAGTGGGGAGCGGGGGACGCAAGGGGGACGGGGGGAGCAGGGGAAGCGGGGGGAGCGGGAGAGGGAAGTGAAGATGGGGAAGGAAGTGAGGTGGAGGCGGTGGATGTGATCTGTGAGGTCGCAGGTTCGAATCCTGGCGAGAAACAAATTGTGGTTGTGAGGGCGAAGGTGCTGGTGGGAGCTGACGGGGTGAGATCAGCCGTGAGGGATCAAATGATTGGCGATTCACCCCGGTTTCTCAATCAGATCGCATGGAATTCGTTCCTGAGCACTCCAGTTGATGTCAGCAGCAGTCCCGCTGACGTCAGCAGCTCAGGAGAATCAAGAGAGGCTGCTGTTCCCGAATTGACGGCCCTGATCGACGAGGTGTCGGGATGCAGTGCGATCTTCATCACTTTGAAGAACGGCGAGAGATTCTGGCAGGTATGGGTTGGTATGGTCCTGGGAGGTATGGTACTGGCAGGTCAGAAGTGCCAGGTACAGAATGACAGGTACAGCTGTGGCAGGTGCAGTTGTGGTAGGTACAGTTGTGGCACGGTACGGTTGTGGCACGGTACGGTTGTGGCACGGTACGGTTGTGGCACGGTTGAGGCAGGTCCGGTTGTGGCAGGTACAGTTGTGGCAGGTATGGTTGTGGCAGGTACGGTTGTGGCAGGTACGGTTGTGGCGGGTGCGGTTGTGACAGGTACGGTTGTGGCAGGTACGGCGTCCTTTCTCTCATCCACGTTACCCTGCCTGTGCTGCACCCCTCATTCCTGTTAGTCTTTCCCTTCTAATCAGGTACAATGCATGGAGTATGAAATACACCCAACACTCCATGTCACCCACTTTGCAGGTTTCGGCAGCAGGCGGGGCATTAAAGCCCTCCTCCTCGCACTGACTCCCTCCTCTTAACCTTCCCGTCTTCTGATCTCTCCTTTCCTTCAGGTGTGATACGTGGACTAAGAAATGGACCCAACACTCCAACCTCCCTTTGAAGGTCTCGCCTTGAAACCTACGCCTAAAAAGCATCCTCTGTTTTTCTTTCTTCCTTCAGGTGCGGTACGTTGATTATGAAATGGACCCAACACTCCAAGACACCCCCTTTGCAGGCTTCGGCAGCAAGCAGAACATTAAAGCCCGCCTACTCCCTCTCATCCAAGCCAACCTCCCCCACAATCCACTCTGGAAGCTAGCCTTCCGAGAAGCTTCCTCCACCCCGGAGCATCTCATCTTCGAACGCCGCCAGCTGGATCGGCCGCCGCCCACTGATTCCTGGAGTGACTCTGTATGCGGTAACAGGGTTGTTCTTATAGGGGATGCGGCCCATGCCATGGATCCTGGGCCAGGGCAGGGGGCACTGACAGGGTTTGAGGATGCTCACCAGTTGTCCCTCTGCTTGGGTGAGACGGGGGATCCGGACCTGCTTACCAAGCCTACTGCTGTGGCTGCGGCGGTTCGGAAGTTTGAGGCTCGGCGGATAGGGCGGTGCGTTAAGGTGCATCGGCATGCGACTGCGCTGATTGGGTATGGGGAGGAGGGGATGGAGTTCAAGAGCAGGAGTGTGGAGCATCAGATGAAAGCTAGCATGGAGTTTACAAGGTGGATGTACTCTTACCCTGACAAGATCGATGGCGATCCAGAGTCCACCCTTTTCAAGTAAAGTGATTCTGGATTGTTCAGTCTGAGAAACAAGTTTTTTAAAGCTGCTGTTGAGCTCTTCAGGCTAGATGGTGCCCAGCAAGGGCGGATTGTGCATCGAATGGGAGAAGTTTACGGGGGAAGGAGGCCGGTGGGTGAGATTGAATGTGAAGAAATAAAATATTATACCTTATACCGATGCGGTCAGAATGACCGAGTGATTCACATTGTAAGCAGCTTCATGAAGCGTACCGTGCTTTCAACTGTCACAACCACTTACACCTAGTCCGCGGTAAATTCACCGGCGTTATCTTCACCACCCGGGTGTACTTTCCCGCGGTCAAGTTAGTTTATGAAGGTAGTCTCGGGTTCGGAGAGGGTAGAGTCATGCATTACCTTTGCCAGATGACGGAGAGTAGAAACTTAGTAAATGCCAATCCCGCCCTTATCTTGTAAGTGCCAGTTTATGAGACTGAAATGCATCCTAGCTGTTTACTATTAGCCTCGGAGTCTCTGGTTGCCCTTCTAAGGAGATGAGGGGTGAGTGGGTAGGGGAGACAAGGAGGGGGAGTGCAGAGGGGGAAGGGGTTACCCAGGTTGCACCTTGGTAACTCTAAGAAGGCTGTCCCATGCCGCTCCAAGCTCATGACAAAGGAGGGGAGGTGGGGAGATGAGGGATGAGTGGGTAGGGGAGATAAGGGTAGGGGTAACCCGGGTATGAGGGGTAAACAGGAGAAGAGCTGAGGGGTGAGTGGGAAGAGAGACGAGGGGAGAGCGGGGGGAAGGGAGTGCAGAGGGAATATGAGGGGAGAGGGGGAGGAGATGACAGGAGAGCAGGGAGGGAGGAGGCGGGGGAGGAAGCAGGCGAAAACGAGGGGAGGGCGGGGGAAATGAGGGGAGAGCGGAGGGGGAATGAGGGTGAGACGGAGGGGGGACGAGGGGAGTGCGGGGGAGATGAGGGGAGAGCGGAGGGGTGTCAGAATGTGATGTTTGTCTAGCCTGCAGTGGGGTACCGTATAGTTCCGGCTAGAAGACCCGCCGGTAAGAAGGTCCCCCGGGACTCTTGAACGGGTAGGGGGACTCTTATTGTGGCAGATATTGTGAGGACCCCCCCTTAGCCCCTAATTATCATAAGACCCCCCTTTTCTGTATACAGTGGTTATGATTGCTATAATGCATCAGTTTTTACTGGAACAAGTTCAAATTCTGACACGTTTTTTGTGTCAGACTCGAATTCTGACACTATACTTGTGTCAGACTCGAATTCTGACACAGATCTGACGCATCGCTCGCGCGAAATTCGTGCGATTTCGTTACGAATATAAGACCCCCCCGCCCGAACTTGAGCTGTACACCCTAAAAAACAGATTGATAGATGATAAATAAGTGTACCCCGGGTCTTAAAATTTTGCAACCGCCATGATGTCCACCCTAGCATTTTTTCAAGCATTTCTAGAGAGTCCCCCGGGTCTTCTAGCCGGAACTATACGGTACTCTATAGCGAGTACAGCCCTTCTAGGGTTTGCTATATGTATCCCTATGCTTGTTAGTCAAAACCCCTCTTTGCCTGTTCCTCGTTTTCGCCTAGCCTGTTTAACATGCTATCAGAGCAGGTCGACCCTCCTGGGTCGATCCTGTGGGTGGTCCCGCCCGTTAGCTTCCGCTGCTGTTCTGTGTGTCGCGCGCCCCGTGGCGCGCGACGGATTTTTCTTCCCGCCACGCGCTCGGGGCGCGCGTCGGTTTTCTGCACGCCGTGCGCCCCGAGGCGCGCGGCGGTTTTCTGCCCCGTCGACCGTGGCGTCGCCCCCCAGGGGCCCGCGCGTCGCGCCCCCTCCCGTCGCCCGTCGAGGCGCCCTGGGGGCCCGCGAGCCGCCCTACCCGGCGCCCGTAGCAGCTCCCCAGGGACCCGCGCCCCGCCCCCCTTCCGCTCGCACGCCGCCCCTACGCGCCGCCTGCGTTTAGGGTTTGGGGGTGGCGGGTATGGGGGTGCCGGGTGTGTACGCCGTCCCCTCCTCCTCCTCCTTCTCCGTCTCCCACTGCTGCAGCTACCGCTGAGGGGGGTGGGTGTGTGGGAGCCGAGGGAGTGGCGCTAGGGGGGTGTAGTGGGAGTGGAGCTAGGGGTGCAGCAAGGGGGTGTGTGAAAAGGGGGTGGGACAGCTGGGGGAAGTTGAGAGGAGGCCGTCGACTTGTCGTCCGCAGCGCCTGAAGTCCAGGGAGCCACGACCCCCTGTGGCCTGAGTAGTCCGGGGCTCTGCGCCCGGTAGCTACAGTGTGTGCACTCCTGGGAGCACAGCGAGCCAGCTGCGACCCCCTGTCGCCGTGTAGTCCGGGTTTAGCCTGGTAGCGACAGTGCGGCACACTCCTGCTGCCCGTGTGTCTGCAGCTTCAGCCGTCGCCTCTCATCTTCTTGCTCCCACAGTTTCTCCTCCTCCTCACTTGCCCTCTGTGATAGCCTCTAGCTTTGCTTGTATTTGTGAACCTACTGCTCTGCCTGCTTGTTGTGTTGATTGTACCCCACTTTGACTATGGGGGTGTGTCAGAATGTGATGTTTGTCTAGCCTGCAGTGGGGTACTCTATAGCGAGTACAGCCTTTCTAGGGTTTGCTATATGTATCCCTATGCTTGTTAGTCAAAACCCCTCTTTGCCTGTTCCTCGTTTTCGCCTAGCCTGTTTAACAAGGGGGATGAGGGTGAGACGGAGGGGGGACGAGGGGAGGTGCGGGGGAGATGAGGGGAGAGCGGAGGGGGATGAGGGGAGAGCGGGGGAGATGAGGGGAGAGCGGAGGGGGATGAGGGGAGTGCGGGGGAGATGAGGGGAGAGCGGAGGGGGATGAGGGTGAGACGGAGGGGGGACGAGGGGAGTGCGGGGGAGATGAGGGGAGAGCGGAGGGGGATGAGGGTGAGACGGGGGGGACGAGGGGAGTGAGGGGAGATGAGGGGAGAGCGGAGGGGGATGAGGGGAGATGAGGGGAGAGGCGGGGGAGATGAGGGGAGATGAATGAGAGAGGAGAGCGGGGGAGATGTCGTGAGAGCGGGGAGGCGCGGAGAGGGAGGGTGGGACTGTCAGAATCCCAGCCACTAACCACTGGGATAAAATGGCTTTTTTTTGTAGCGGGTGAGTGCGCCCATAACCCCCCAGGCCGACGTGCCTGTAACCCTTCCCTAGGATCAATCGGGGATCTCCAGTGGACCTTTGACAACCCCCCACACTGGGATGCCCGAGGTGCATACACCGGGATTCGAACTCGAGACCTTCGCTCTGATACCATGTCAGAATCCCAGCCACTAACCACTGGGATAAAAGGGCTTTTTTGTGTAGCGGGTGAGTGCGCCCATAACCCCCCAGGCCCGCGTGCCTGTAACCCTTCCCTAGGATCAATCGGGGATCTCCAGTGGACCTTTGACAGGGACAAGTTGAGCGCAGGGAGATGAGGAGAGAGGGAGGGAGGATGTGAGATGGAGAATGAGGAGGGGAAAAGGGAGGGGTTTCACGGCATGGAGTTTTGATATAACGTTCTCCGTTACGCGAGAGCATGTAACATGCTCGCCGAAAGGCGAGGTTCGCGAGAGTGTGTAGCAAGCTCATGGACCTCGTCTCCCTTTCCCGCCCTGCCTCGCCGCCTCTTGCCAGTCTAATGCCTGCCTTTCATCTTAGGTTCATCCCGAGCCTCCCTACCTCTCGCGTTTCCCCTCGATATTGAGTTCCCCGTTTCTAATGTCTTGCGTGACGGTTCAGACTAGAGCGCTACGATTCGCCTGCCTAACGAGATCGACTGAGGTCGCAACGCCGACGCGCTCTAAAGTCGACACTGATCAAGCGACAGCATGATAAAATCCGCAAATCGACACTAATAATTCGCTACAGAATCGATGCTACTATTCCTCCCGCGGTTCGTAACCTAGAAATCGCTAGATCTTTCGAATATTGGCTGCTGGTTTCATTTGAATCTGAGACCAGTACTCGTTCAGCTATTACGTGGGAAGCGGCTTCAGGTACTAGAAGGTGAAGCGCGACGGATAGCACGACTGATAGAGGCTACGGCAACAAGAGTCGACTCCAGACACTTGAAGTAATCGGCGAAATGAACACCAACATGTTCGATCTGCCTTGGCGATGAGCTGGAAGTAGAAGCCGGAGGATGACAGATGAGGGTGACAAACATCCCCCAATTCTATTGGCTCGCATGATATTTCCTCAATCACTACTTGCCATTTTCAACTGCCCCGATCAGGTTCGCAAGGAACAAAATGAACTGTGAGAACACCAGAACCTTCCGTTCACAACTGTGGTACCCATTTCAACGCAATCCCGCAATTCACGCACTTTTTTTCTCGAATACTCATAGTCGGTCTATGTATTTAAAATACATGTGCCACGTCAACCACCTCCTAAAGCCCCATCCTTTTGTACCCGATATCAGAGTGTCCGCCAAACCGCAATACAGCGATACACGCCTTTAGAAAACTCGCTTGTAGAAAACCGCTAACAAACCACATAACTTTACTATCCTTGAACTGTACATATAGAAATTGTTCACCATGTCGTGTCGCGTTGGGTTGAGACCAAGCGAGAACATTTGGGCCGCCTCGAAATTTGAGTTCATAAGGGGAACACTTTCTGACATTTTTCTAGGCGGAAGTTCTCTTTGGCGGCGCCAACCACCACATCACACCCGCTCCACCAAATCTTCACCATTCATGAGCGGCGGCAATGATCTCCGCCACCTGTTCGCCACCTCTCCGGCACCAATGCACCATACCAGAGGTCCCGCGCTTGATCGCGATGCACCGCACTCAGCAAATAATAGCGGCTGTAATCTACCAACACACGCAAAAACTCTGGATGAGTCCACATGCACACATTCGGGTCGCGATGAAAGTCCCCATGGAAAAACGTCCTCGACATTTCCTAGGCGGGGAATTTCTATGGTGGCGGCGACCATCATATCACATCACATCTCTATGGTAACGAATCTTTACGATTCATCGGTGGTGGCTATCATCGTCACCATCCGTTTAGCA